CCAGACGGTCCCTGCACCCGTCCAGCTGCTCCGAAGATGGTTCCACCGAACCTCTTCGGAACGAGCCCAGGACCCCCGACAAACCCTGATTGGCCTCAAGACGCCCCCGAGACACCCCAAAAACAACCTCCAGGATGCCCGGAAGGAGAAGAAACGAAGAGGGGAAGAAAAAGGGAGAAGCACGAGGAAGGAAGGGAAGAGCGGAGCCGTTGACAAGGAGTGGTGTTCAAAACCCGCGCCAGCTTTGCTGGCCGATCATGCGGCGTCTTTTCCATGCATGGTGCTCATGAGATTCCTTCTGGTGCTCCTCGCGCTGGCCGTCTGCGCCACTAACGTGTTGCGGCGTGATGAGTGTGACAGTTTGCTGGCTGGCCACTTGTACGTCCAGCATTGGTTCGGCCCCCAATACGCCGAACCATTACCGTTATGGCAATGGCGTGTCCTGAAAAGGAAGTAACCACGATACACTGTGGTTTGTCTGGCAGGGTCGTAGTGAATGGAATCGGGTCTTTAAGCTTGACCTCCTTCCTAATTCCTAGCTCGTATTGGTTTGGTCACCAATACGCCGAAACATGACCGGTGTTACAGTGGCGCGTCCTGAAGAGGAAGCAATTAACGATAATTGGCGATTCGTCGGTCAAGGCACGGCGGAATCGGAACGCCATGACCGGCTGCACAACTAATCCCACCAGTCCTCTGGGCATATGGGGGAACAAAAAGTGACATAAACATAAAAACTCGGAGGTCCAAGGCATGAACGATTCTTGCCCCGGTGCCGGTGCCGGTGCCGGTGCCGGTGCCGGTGCCGGTGCCGGTGCCGGTGCCGCTGCCGGCGCCGGTGCCGGTGCCGGCGCCGGTGCCGGCGCCGGTGCCGGTGCCGGTGCCGGTGCCGGTGCCGGTGCCGGTGCCGGTGCCGGTGCCGGTGCCGGTGCTGGTGCCGGTGCCGGTGCTGGTGGCCGGTGCCGGTGGCCGGTAGCCGGTGCTGGTGCCAGTGCAGGGGCTGGTGCCGGTGCCGGTGCTGGTGCCGGTGGCCGGTGCTGGTGCGGGTTCTTGTTTTCCCAGAACATTCTCTCCTTCTCCCTCCCGCCTCCCGCCTCCCAACAGTGCCCCTCCCGCCCCTCCAGGGAGGCCCCGCCTGAGCGAGGAGGGTAACGGAAACCCATACTATTTACATGGTTTCGTGCCCTTCCCACTTCTCCAGGGAGGCCCCGCCTGAGCGAGGAGGGTATCCCACCCCTCCAGCAGGGAGGCCCCACCTGACTGAGCGAGGAGGGTATCGGAAACCCATACTATTTACATGGTTTCGTGCCCCTCCCACCCCTCCAGGGAGGCCCCGTCTGAGCGAGGAGGGTATCGGAAACCCATACTATTTACATGGTTTCGTGCCCCTCCCTCCCCTCCAGTGAGGCCCCGCCTGAGCGAGGACGGAATGGGGAACCCGTACTATTTACATGGTTTCGTGCTGTTCCTACCTCTCCATGGAGGCCCTGCCTGAGCGAGGAGGGTATCGGAAATTAATAAAGATTACATGGTTTCGTGCTCCTCCCACCCCTCAAGGCAGGCCCCGCCTGAGCGAGGAGGGTATCGGAAACCCATACTATTTACATGGTTTCGTGCCCTTTCCATCCGCCTGAGCGAGAAGGGTATCGGAAACCCATACTATTTACATGGTTTCGTGCCTTTCCCACCTCTCCAAGGAGGCCCCACATGAGCGAGGAGGGTATCGGAAACCCATGCTATTTACATGGTTTCGTGCCCCTCCCACCCCTCCAGGGAGGCCCCGCCTGAGCGAGGAGGGTATCGGAAACCCATGCTATTTACATGGTTTCGTGCCCCCATACCACCTCTCCAGGGAGGCCCCGTCTGAGCGAGGAGGATATCGGAAACCCATACTATTTAAATGGTTTCGTGCCCCTCCCACTGACATGGGTGAGGGGGAGGGGAGAAAATTACCTATCCATCTCACGTCCTACTCCTCCCACTGAGGAGGGTGAGGAGGAGGGGGAGTTCTGCGATGAGGAAGGCTTCGTGATGATGATGGTGATGACGATGGTTATACTGCTGTTCACGATGACGATGACGATGGCGATCATGGTGATGGACGATGACGATGGCGATAACGGTGATTCTGATGATGCTGATGATGATGACGATGATGATGATGATGATGACGACGATTACGATGATGACAACGATGGCGACGACGACGAGGATGATGATGCAGATGCTGGTGATGATGACGATGCTGCTGCTGATGCTGACGTTTCTGATGCTGTTGATGATGATGACGACGATGATGCTGATGATCATGACGTCCACGATGATGCGGACGATGATGATGCCAAGGACGGTGATGGTGATGATGATGACGATGCTGATGATTATGATGATGATGACGATGGTGGCGACGACGATGATGATGACGATGACGCTGGCGATGATGATGATGCTGATGATGATGATGAGGATGATGATGATGGTTATGATGATGCCGATGATGCTGACGATGATGATGATGTTGAAGATGTTGATACTGATGATGATGACGATGATGCTGATGATGACGACGACGACGACGGGGTGACGACGATGCTGCTGATGATGCTGATGATGACGACGATGATGCTGATGTGATGATGATGATGATGATGATGATGATGATGATGATGATGATGATGATGCCGAGGATGAGGAGGACGAGGAGGAGCAGGACGACGAGGAGGAGGAGGAGGAGGACTCGCTTGAACGAGGAGGGTCGCGGACAGCATTACTCTTTACCAGGTTTCGTAAGCTTCCCCCCTTCCAGCGGGGCCCCGCCAGAGCGAAGAGGGTATCAACAACCCGTACTATTTACAAGGCTTCGTTTCCTGAGCACCTGTCCTCCCTCCTCCTTTCTTTCGTCTGCCCTTTCGTGCGTACTTACTCGTTCGATGAGCTTCTCCTTCGTGTTGATGTTGTCGTACCCCATGGGTCCCACGAAACTGTTAATATTTTTTATGTGGGGAACTGCGTTTGCATAATTTTACCATTGATTGGACTGCAATCGATTCCACTGGGTTTGCACTTGATTGGCTTGCAACCGATTGGATTGCAACCGCTGGGGGGCGCACAGGGCAGCGACGAGGAGGCGGCGACGGGACGGTGACGGCGACGAGCAAGGAACCGCCAGACCGACCCTCAGGCCAAAACGACGGGCGGCGACGACGCAGCAAGGGGGGGCGACGGCAAGGACGGAAAAACTAGACCGCCCCTCAAGCCCAGACGACGACGGGCGGCGACAGGGCGGCAACGGCGAGGAGGAGAGAGCCGCCAGACCGCCCCTCAGACGACCCAGCTAATACTAGGAAAGAAGAGAGAAGGCCCCCTAAGTGCAAGCACTGTTTGGGAAATGTCATGATGTTCAATGTCAATGATGTTTTTCATCCGGTGCCAGTGCTGGCGCCGGCGCCGGTGCCGGTGCCGGTGCCGGTGCCAGGGCTGGTGCCGGTGCGGTTGCGGGTGCGGGTGCCAGTGCCGGTGCTGGCGCCGGCGACGGCGCCGGCGCTGGTGCCCGTGCCGGTGCCGGTGCCAATGCCGCCGGCGCAGGGCGTGCCGGTGCCGGTGCCCGTGCCGGTGCCGGTGCCGGTGCCGGTGCTGGTGCCGGTGCCGGTGCCGGTGCCGGTGCCGGTGCCGGTGCCGGCGCCAGTGCCGGTGCCGGTGCCGGTGCCGGTGCCGGTGCCGGTGCCGGTGCCGGTGCCGGTGCCGGTGTGGCCGGTGCCGGTGCCGGCGCCTGTGCCGGTGCCGGTGCCGGTGCCGGTGCCGGTGCCGGTGCCGGTGCCAGTGCCGGTGCCGGTGCCGGTGGGCGAGAATCGTTCTATAGTGGGAGGTCCGCGCGGATTTCTCGGATCGGCGCTGGGGCCCACCGGCGGCGCCTTCGGCGCCGCACCTGGCGCGCTCCGCGCGCCAGGGAAGGGGGTCCAGCGCCGATCCGAGAAATCCGCGCGGACCTCCGAGTTTTTATGTTTACGTCACTTTTTGCTCCCCTATAATCCCACCAGTCCTCTGGGCATAGGCGGTTACACCAATTCTCTCTGCCAGCACACTCCTCGATCCTCCTCGTCCCCCTCGTCCCCCTCCTCCCCCTCTCCTCGATCCTCCTCGTCCCCCTCCTCTCCCTCCTCGATCCCACTCCTCGATCCCCCTCCTCGATCCCCCTCCCACTAATCCCTTCCAGCACCCTGATGACCCCTCTCCCTCGCCTCCCCCCTGGGCCCCGCCGCACACCCCTAAAAAAAACACCTCTGCAACGAACCCCCTGCCTGCAAAAAAAAACAAGAACGCATTTAGGGGGCCACATGCGAACCCTGCCCCTACCCCCCACGATTTCTGAGGGGGAGGGTGGGGTTCACTTCGCTCGCGAGCTCCCGAACGAAGTGAACCCCACCCTCCCCCTCGGTAGGGGTAGGGTTCGCATGTGGCCCCCTAGCATTGCAAAACGACCCTGTGACACCGCGCAAGCACTTGTCCTGCAACGCCAGGCCAAACGACCGTACAATGCCCCCACTTTTTGCAGGGGGCCCGAGCCAGCTCGGTGGCCCCCGCGTCCGCCGCAGCCTCATCCGCGGACACCGCGGCGTCTGTGGCGGAGCGCGGAAGATGCGGCCGCGGGGCACCGTGTAGGATAGAGGGTGCGGCCGCGGCCCTTTCAGCTGGTGTGGCGCCAGAAGGGTCAGGTCGGGCGTGTCCCCCTACAGGCGGATTTTGGACGACAAATCAAATAGAATCATCAAATAATCAAAACAATGTTCTACAAAAAAACACTCGAAGATTCGTCCCCAGACTAGTGTTCAATATTTGTGCATAGATTCCTCCTGTAAAGGGACGTGCCCGACTTAACAGAAGGGCATCTCGAATGCCCCAACTGGCGAGCGGCAAGCGCTGCACCTGGCGACCGTGCGGAACGCGGCGGGTGCCCGGGCAGCCATGCAACAGAGCAGGGGCGAGGGAGCTGGCCGATGCAGTCACGTCATCTCGCTGTCAGAAGGAGCGCTGAAAACAGTGGAGGCCCGTCCAGAAAAACCTTCCACAAGAGACCCGAGCCTGAGACCCCAGGACATCCATCGATGTTTGGCGTGGGAACGTCACGCCTTCCACAGCAAAACCATCGACACCATCGAAACCCAGTGCACCCTGGAGGCGAGCAGGGTGTTTTTTGGCATGGGCCCCCACTGCACAGTCCTCTCGCTGTCGGAGGGAACGCCGAACAGGGCACGGGGGAGGCTCCTCCCGCCACGGCCAGCCCCCCCGCCACGAAGAGGCTTCCCGACCCAGATCGAACGCACGGCCCAAAAACCGGGTCCCCCCCCGAGCCCTGCGCGGCCCCTGTTTCGGCGTCTCTCCGCCGTGCCCCCCACGAGGCGCGCCCGGACCAGAAAAAAAAAAGACCACGGCGCCCAGGGCGAGCAGCGCCGCGGGCGAGCTGGCCGCGAGGCACGCCGCAGTCGTCCGGTCCTCTCGGCAGCCTTCTCGCCCAGAGCTGGTGCTGCGCGTGCGCGCCGCAGTCGCACTGCCTCTGCCGCGGTTCGCGGTCGCAGAGGAGGATGTGCGGAGGCCGCCGCGCAGTGCGGGCACCGGCCCCCCGGAAGGGGGCGGCCGACTGCACGAAGCCGCGGCTCCCCGTCCGGGCTCGCGCCCCGGCTCGTGCTTTATGGGCGGAGGGGACGCGCACATACTTGCCATCACTCGGACGTCCATTCCACGTGCATGTTGGGGCTTCGTGCGTTGATTCGTTTCGCAAGAGGGTCCAAGATGCTCCTCGATGGTCCTCGCCGAGGAACAGCGCACACGTCCGAGCGATGCCACGTAGAGGTGTAGAAAAACAGACAGAGCAAGGGAGACGGATGGCCTGCGAGCAGCAGTGGCCTTGCGAGCGCGGGAGTGTGCGGCTCGAGCCACTCCTCACTCGGCCGCCGAACGAATTACAGCATCGATGGGCCAACGCGTTGGACGCACACGAGGCAAATCCCATCAGCCCGTCAGGGCGTGAATGGTTTAGCGGGCTTCCTCTTCCAACTCACTTCTTCCCCTTCGGAGAGGGGTTCGTTGCGCACCTGGCGTCCGCTATGGTTCCCAGTGGCGGTCCATCCGGTGGCGACCCCTGGCTGTGCCGAGACTCGGATGCCACTTATGTGGTGGGAGGGCGGATGGGAGTGAGCTAGACGGCGTGCGTGCGGAGAGGGTGTCTTGATCACTGTTCCCTATTAATATACACCCCCTCCCTCAGGCGACTGGGAGCCAACCCGAACCAATGAGGGCACCCCCCCACCACCCCTTGCAAAAAACAATGCAAAACACACTCTGCCTCCAAATTCGGAGCATGCGCAGGGAACCCGATGCAGCCTCCCCCCGCCATCCCAATCAAAAAAACATCCAGAGTACACTTGGTGGCGGCGGCGGCGGCGGCGACGGCTGCGGCGGCTGCGGAGGGGGCAGCGGCTGCGGCGGCTGCGGCGGCGGCGGCGGCGGCAGCGGCGGCGGGGGCGGCGGCGGCAGCGGCGGCGGCGGCGGCGGCGGCGGTGGCGGCGGTGGCAGCGGTGGCGGCAGCGGCTGCGGCGGCAGCGGCTGCGGCGGCGGCGATTCGGCAGCAGCGGCGGCGGCGGCGGCGGCAGCGGCGGCGGCGGCGGGCGGCGGCAGCGGCGGCGGAGGCGGAGGCGGCGGCAAAGGGGGCGGATTCGCCCCCCGTAGCTGCCCATCCAAAGACGACTGCTGCATTTGCTGAGGCTCGGGCCAGGCTCGGGTGCTGCGTATGTGTTGGGAGGGCGGGTGGGATTGAGCGAGACGGCTTGCGGGTCGGGGAGGGCGTCTTGACCCCTCCCCCTACCCCCTACCCCTGGGTCTGGAGGGAGTGGGTTCAGTGCTTCGCGGGTCGCTGGAGTGTCAAAGATGGCCTCGGGGCGAGAAGGCACAGATCATTGATGTTACGTGGGTGTTGGACCCACTTTGGCCTCATGCAGCGGAGACCCTAATTGAACCCCTGCCCTTCTTTGATCGATCTCCTCCAAGTGGCGGCCAGTAGGCCCCAAGAGACCTGCAAGCGGTCCCCCCCCCCAAGGCTCCCAAGAGACCCAAGGGCCCCAAGAGCCCCCCCTAAGGCGCCCGAGACGCTTCAAGAGGCCCCTGGGACCGCCAAGAAGCCCTCAGGCGCCCAAGAGGCATACAAGAACATATCACGAAGCATCCGAAGAGACTCCGAGAAGCATCCAAGAAACCTCTGGTTGTTCTGCTCGCCCACCTCCTCCTCCTCCTCCTCCCCCACCTCCTCCTCCTCCTCCTCCTCCTCCTCCTCCTCCTCCGCCTCCTCATCTTCCTCATCTGCCGATTTCTCATCCCTCCTCCCTCCCCCCTCCCCCTCCTCCTCCTCCTCCTCCTCCTCCTCCTCCTCCTCCACTTCCTCCTCCTCCTCCTCCGAGTCCCGATCCGTCCTCCCCCTCTTGGGGTATGATGTCTTGCCCAGCCTTGTGTTACGCTACATGGTCCTCCACATCTCGGATCAAGACAACTCATATGGGCATCGTGTCTGGACGGGTGTGTTGGGTTACGCGACGCGTCTAGAACATAACGAGGAGGAGAACTGGTATACGTAAGGCGGGGAACGTGGAGGAGCAGATGCGCACCGAAGACTTGGTTCGGTTTCGCAAACTCGAAGGATAGAGCCACTGCAGCGCACCATCTCATCTGAGTTTGCTGTCCAGGCGGATACAGTCAAATCGTATAGCAAGGACGGGTGATGAGGACGCAAGACCCTTGGAGGCCGAAGTTGTTTTTTTTAGGGCGGCGGGCGACCAGTGATAATGACAAGGACGGGCCTCAGAGGCAAGGATACAAGGGTACCCTAGATGAAGGCGCGCGTCCTTACTAGGCGCGTTGACTGTAGAGCTACTGGAGCGCGCCATCTCGTCTGAGTTCGCTGTCCAGGCGATTATATCATGATATGGGATCGCCTCTGCAGGAGAGCAGCCAAAACCAACGCTTCTGCACAGTCGAAGTGCCTGGCGGTCAATCACTTTCGTCGAAGTCGCTCATGTCGACGCCTCCCGCTGAGTGGACTACGGGCACCACCGCGCTGAAAGACAAGGCCGGCCCCGCCGCAGTGTCTGCCGCCACGGCATGCTTCGACTGGCCTTGTTTCCCAGGAGGTTCGTGTGCCCAGCAATCGTTGGGCGCCTTGAGCAGCGTTGGCGCTTGGTCTGCCGAATTCAACAACTCGCGGGCTTCTCCACTGGCGCCTCCACTGGCGGATGCGTCGCCGTCCTCGATAGGTGGGGAGAGCCTCTCTTCCAACGTCCACACCTGCCGCATGAGCGCGACGGCGAAGAGCAGCAGAAAGGACAGGGAGATGCCGACCATCACCAGCATCTCAACCAACGGCGAAGACTCATGCGGGGACGACATCACATTCATATTCCGCTCGGTCATGAGCTGGAAGGTCCCCGTCAGCTCCGCTGGGATGTAGCGCGAGGGGTGCCCGAAGGCGGCGAGGCCGTGCATGGGGTGGACCTCGTAAGTGTCCTGCCAGGAGTACTCGATCTTCAGAAGGGCGCGGAATGTGAATCTCGGAACCGAGACCACAGTGATCCCTTGCAGCCAAGACGGCAACTTCGTGTAGAACCCATTGGTCAACATGCACATCTGCACAAACAAGTTTGCGATGACCACGTTCAGCGCACCGCTGGGGATGACCATAGCCAAGGCGTACCCAACCGTCCGCATAGCGACGACATTCAGCGCGAGCGTTAACTGCATGCTGAGCATCGCTTGAGGGTCGCGGCCTAAGTCCGCGAAAGTGTAAGCGATCATCTGCCATACTGGGGCCCAGATGACCACGGTGAAGAGGGAGGATATGGTCATGGCAATGACGTAGGTGCAAATCGGGTACATCCCACTGAGGTGCTCTCGGCTTACCCGCCTGGCAGTTGATGGCGCAACGGCCAACACCTGAAACACAGGTGGAACAGTGTAGAGCGCGGTGGAGAAGAAGAAAAGGCCGATAGACTCCCCAAGGGCGGTCTGGGTGTCGACTGAGCCTTTCTGGAACCAAACGAGGCCGGCCATTATGCCGATGCCAACCGTCTCGATGAGCCTGTAGATTGTCATGGAGTCCTCGAGGTCGCTGGCGACCTGATACTGCAAGAGCGTCCACAGCTGCAGCGGGAAGCACTTCTGCCTACGCAAGGCGAATTTCTCTTGAGGATCAGCCAGCATGGACATCACCTGCGTCAAGCTTGATGTCAGCCCCCGGCTGAGGGCACTCTTCGTGGATGACAGGGCGGCAAAGCTTTCCGAGCTGTGCTTCCTGCCGATGACCGCGCTCCCGCTGCTGTCCTCGCTGGTTTTCCTGTAGTTCACGGGGCTCTCGAGACCGTCCGCCTGGCCGACGAACCCAGAGCTTTCGCTGGCACGGGACAGTGCGACGCTCCTGCGTGACACAAAGTTGGGCGCAAGGCTGAAGCGAGCGGAGGTCCTGCTGGTTACCGACCGTTTGGCCTGCTGGGTGTCGTACAGGCCCTTGACCACAATCTCCGAACCCCACTCGATGACGTTGAGGCCGGGTGGTACGGCCAGGCCTATGCTCGAGCAGTGTCCCGGCATCGCCGATGCCGTGGAGAAGAAGGGCTTGAACGACTGGCCGAGCATCATCGCGTGCGTCACGAGCTTGCCCGCCTCTCCAGGAATGCAGCCGTCACACGAAAAAACGATAGTGACTCGGAGTTTGACGGCCAGGAGCTTGAACACCTTCATCATGCGGACCGCCGCCGGTGGCCGTAGATCGTCCAGCGGGCCCTTGATCATCAAGACGCCCCTGGGCAGCACGGTCTCCTGTGCGATGAGGACTTTCAGCAGCACCTCGTCGTCGAGGCTCGAGAGGCAGTCATTGAGGTGCTTCTCGAGCTTGAAGAGCTTCACGTACTTGACCATGTGCAGCGTGCGCTCCGCGCGAGACGTGTACAGCTCGGGGGCCTGCACGAGGCGCAGCGGCAGCTCCAGGAACTCCGCGACGGAGCATGCGGGGCGCAAGGGCTGGATGTCGGAGATGTTGATGGGCCAGTGGTCCACCACCACTGCCCCGGGCAGGATGGGGGAGAAGGGAGGATGGGGAGCTCCTCCTCCTCCTCCTCCTCCTCCTCCTCCTCCTCCTCCTCCTCCTCCTCCTCCTCCTCCTCCTCCTCCTCCTCCTCCTCCTCCTCCTCCTCCCCTCCTCCTCCTCCTCCTCCTCCTCCTCCTCCTCCTCCTCCTCCTCCTCCTCCTCCTCCTCCTCCTCCTCCTCCTCCACCTCCTCCTCCTCCTCCTCCTCCTCCTCCTCCTCCTCCTCCTCCTCCTCCTCCTCCTCCTCCTCCTCCTCCTCCTCCTCCTCCTCCTCCTCCTCCTCCTCCTCCTCCTCCTCCTCCCCTCCTCCTCCTCCTCCTCCTCCTCCTCCTCCTCCTCCTCCTCCTCCTCCTCCTCCTCCTCCTCCTCCTCCTCCTCCTCCTCCTCCTCCTCCTCCTCCTCCTCCTCCTCCTCCTCCTCCTCCTCCTCCTCCTCCTCCTCCTCCTCCTCCCCGTAGCCATTTTGGCTCAAGTTCGAAACCTTGCCGCGAGGCTTCGAGCTTGTCCGCAGCCGTGCGGCAGGCTCGGGTGTTTTTGGCGTGTGTTCCCTGGTGTGCTGCCCTGCCACCAGGCCTGCTCTGCCGAGCATTTCATATCTTGTGAGCTTGTTTGCTGGCCTTCACTGCGGGAGTTGGGCCCCCGCTGGCTGTTCATGTCGTGGCGGTCGCGCGCCCCCTGGCACCAAGGGCGCGGAGGCCGCAAGAGAGTCTACGGCGGCGCATGGGGTCGTGATGCCCAGCGTCGGGATACCTACTCCGTCTGCGGTGCCTGCGGGCACTGGGAGTTCGACAAGTACGGCAACTGGAGTTGCAGCAAGTGTGGTGGCCGCTACCTCGACTCAGGGGAACCCGTGGCTCAGGACGCTGGTGGCCGTGATGCTGCTGGTGATCTTGAGTGGCTGGCGGCCCAGTACCCGCACTTGGCAGGGGCGCTCGGGGAGCTTGGCGCGGCGGCCGCGGCGGTACCGCGTGTGCCACCGGCTCCCCCGCCTGAGCCTGCCACTGAGAATGAGATGGAGAAGCTCGTGGCTGCGAAGCGTACTGCCTTGGCGAAGGAGGTCGAGGTGCAGTCACGGGCTGAACGTATTGCTCAAGGCGACGTGGAAGCTCGGCTGGCGGCAGTGGTTCGCCATCGTGAGGCTCTTCACGCAGCTGAGGCTCAACATCAGGAGGCGTTGCAGGTGCTGCAAGCCAAGCAGATCCTGCTGCGCGAGGCTACGGTGGCGAAGGACGGCTTTGTGGAGGCCGACTTCCGACGCCTACAGCGTGAGGAAGAAGACCGAGTTCGTGCAGAGGCCGCCCGCGCTCTTTACGAGGCGCAGGCGGCCATGGCGGCTGGCGCGGCGCGTGGCGCTGGTGCTGCTGGCGGCGCTGGGGCGGCTCCTGGCGGTGGTGCTGGCGGCGCGTCGGGCGCTCCTCCTGGCGCAGGTGGCGGCGCTCGAGGAGGAGCTGCGCCTGCTGCCCCCGTGGGGACCCATGCTGCTGCTGCGGGCGGTGGCGCGGCAGCTGGTGCGGGTGCTCCGCAGGCGGTGCTCCATCCTCCCAATCTGGCTCAGCTTGATGAAGAGGGTTTGGCGCGCTGGTGCGCGGAGCATCGGCAGCGGCTCGAGTTCTGGCAGGAGCTCCAACGGATCTACGTCAACGCGGTCAAGGAGGATGACGCCGACTCCGAGATGGCTTCAGAGTATGGTGATGCTCAGCGTGATGAGTTGGAGTCTCTTCGCAAGCGTGCACGTGAAGGGCCCCTTGAAGCTACACAGCAAGATCGCATGGAGAAGCTCTTGGTCAAGTCCGCCAATTGCAAGGCGGTCAAACGGTTACGTACTATCCGCGAGGACACCGCATCGAGTTTCGGCAGAGTGCTTCAGCAAGCAGTCCCTGCTGTCGGCGTGGCCCAAGTCCCAGTCCCTGCTGAGGGTGTCGACGAGGGACTACGCGAGGCGGCGGCGGCTGCTGACGGTGAGGCCCCTGCTACGCAAGCTCGTTTTTAACAGGCACACGGGTGGCCACGAGGCGGCCACCAGTATCGACTTCCTTTTCTGTAATATCACCTCGTGGAACGAGGTCGCTGTTTCGTTCGCCTCCAGCGTGCGAACCAGTTGTGACGGTTTCTTCTTTGCCGAGCATCACCTGAATTGCGATCGGGTGAGACTGGCGAAGAGGCGAGCGCACCAGCTGAAATGGCGACCCCATTTCATTCCTGCCACACCCTCCCCAGGGGGTGGAACCCATGGTGGGGTGGGGGCTGTGGTGTCTCGGGGTTTGTCGTTTCAACGATTTTTGCATGTAGACGGTCCTGTGCAGGACCACGGCTCTGGAAGCCATTGGATGTTTCTTGAGTTACGCCCTAAGAAAGCGGTGATCGCTGTGGGCGTCATTTATTTGGTGTCGGGCCTGGGAGTCTGTGGAGAGAATGTGAATAGATTGCGAGGTGTCTCGGAGTTTCTTGGAACGTTGTCGGTTCCATGGATCTTGATGGGCGATTTCAATGTCTCAGCTGGTGATCTCGATCTCTCGGGCTCCCCACGACTTGCGAGAGGGCGAGTGCTTGTCCCGTCGCTGGTGGAGTTCACCTGCACGCAGGGGCGCGGCTCCCTGATCGATTACGTGGTCGCCTCGGAGGATATTGCCAGTTACGTGCGAGTTTCTAAGTATACCCCGCCACCATTTAAGACACATGCTTGTTTGAAGGTGTCCTTGGACCATGGGGCTGTTGAACAAACGTTGTGGGAACGTGTTAAACCTCCCCCCTTTCCTGATTGCGCTGGTCCTGATTTACCCTGGGAGGTTTTGTTGACGCAGGTGTCAGACGATGGTGACTTGGAGGTTCCGTATTGTTTTGAGGATCATTTCTTACCCCACGTTCATGCTCATCTTTCTCCTGCTCTCTCTCGCCAGTACCGCATTTGGAGCCGAGCTACTGAATTGATGTTTCTTTCTCGTGCCTGTGCGATGCAGTCGCTGCCTTGCGAGAGTAGCGTGCGTGGAGGTTACCCGAGCTTTCGACGAGCTAAGATTGGGCGTAGAGGTTTCTGTGGTCAGAGTTTCCAGTCCCCTACGCTGTGTTTCTGGGCTCATGTTTCTCAGGCTCTGTGGGAGTATCGCTTGTGTAAAGCTCGGAAGTCTTGGGATAATATGCAGTGGGCTGGTCGTGTGCTGCATGTTTTGTCGGGTCAAGTACATGCGCATTGCCTCCCTGGGCTCGTGCATCCTGTCGAGTGGTGGATAGCTCAGCTGGCCGCCGTCCCGTCGTCGGCCGATGGGCTTAATCTTCTCAGTGATGCGGTCGCTCATGCGGTCGGCCAGGCTTGGAATGACGCTCGCGCTCTGTCTAAGGATAAGATGAAGCAGTGGCTTCTAAAGGCCTTGCCGCGTGGTGCCAAGAGGGTTCACTCTTGGCTCAAATATGATCAAGGGGCTGATCTCGAGTATCTGGTTACTCCCTCGGAGGTGAAGCAATTACCCGAGGAAATGATGCAATATCGTCAGGATTTTTGGAGCGGCTTTTGGACGGCTCCCTGGGAGCAACGCGAGGCCCTCTCGGGAGTTTTGGATGTTGTTCGCCGCATGGCTCTGGCGGCCGTAGGCGATCTCGAGCCTTTGACCCCCTGCGCGGTGTCCAGAGCTGCGCGGATGTTTAAGGCTGACACCGCGGTGGGCATTGACTGTTGGCCCCCGCGTATTCTGGCGTCTCTCCCTGGGGCTGCTGTTGGGGCCTACGCGGATCTCCTTAATCAGTGTGAAGCTCGTATGATGTGGCCCACGCAGGTCATGATGGGCATCATTGCTTTGCTTCCTAAGGCGGCTGATGCGGAGCGGCCTGTTTGCAAATGCCCGTCGCTGTATCGGATTTATTGTCGTGCGCGAGGCCGTGACATTGATGAGTGGTCTAGGGAGCGTGAAAACTATTGGGACACTGCGGTTAGGGGCTCTTCGGCGTTGCAGGCCGCGTTGTTGAGAGAGATCGGTCACGAGACCGCTAGATATCTTGGGGAGCTTTCGGTTGGGCTGTATTGGGACCTCAGTAAGTTCTTTGACACCGTGGACCCTCTTCGCCTGGCTGGATTCGCCTTGCAGATGTCTTATCCTGTTCATTTGTTGTATTTAGGTATTGTGATGCACGAGGCCCCGCGTATTTTGGAGGTCAACGGCTTCGTGTCCGACGTGATGCCTACGGGTCGCGGGGTGATTCCTGGGCGTGTGCAATCTATGCCTTGGGTAAAAAGTTACCTGTATGATCTCCTGGATTTTGCACACGCCCAGTATTTCCCTGTGGTCACTCTGGCATACGTCGATGACATTACCCAGACGCAGCAGGGCTCTTGGAGTGATATTGTTTCGTGCATCGTGCCAGCAGCAGTTCATTTGTGTCATCAGCTTGAGCAAGCTGGCACTACTATTTCAAGTAAGAGCACGTTCGTGTGCTCAGATCGAGCTTTGTAAGAACATCTTGAGGGGTGTTTCCGCGCCGCACAGCTCCCTATTCGAGTGGGGGAAGCGGTGCGCGACCTGGGGGTCATGACTACCGCAGGGCGTCGTCGTTGTGTGAGTAAGTTGAGACAGCGACGTGCTGTTGCTTTTAAGAAGGCTGCGAAAGTGAGATGCCTGACCCGTTTAGTCGGCAGAGCTAGGAAGTTCTACAAGCCTGCTGTGTTGGCGGTTGGTTCCTGGGGCCATGAAGTTTTGGGTCTTTCGCAGTCGCAGGTCCAAAGCATGAGGGGTCAGGCTGCTACGTGTTATGGTTGGTGGTGTCATGGGGCCTGTACAACTACTGTCTTGAGTCTGGTTAACCCTGCCAAGGATGACCCCCAGTTTAGGTTACGGTATGAACAACTTAATGCTTTTGCGTCAGCGTGGTGTGTGATGGAACATAAACAACGTATGCGTGTGGCCCGAGTGTGGAAGAAGGTGTTGGCCAAATTCGAGTGCGCTCAGTACCGCTGGCAAGTCGTGCGAGGTCCGATCGCGGCCACGCTAGCGGTACTTCTTGATTTGCGATGGGATCCTGTTTCTCCAGTCTGCTGGCGTGTTGGTACAGTTACGTTGCGGGTGACTGATGCAGATTTCCCTGCCCATCTGTGGGACCTCTTATTTGATGCATGCCAGTCTCTTTCTTGGCAAGCTGCAGCGGGTCATTATATGGGCACTGGGGTGGAAGGAGGGGTTGATTTTACTGTGTTGCATCGTATGTTACGTCATCAGGAAAGGAACGGCGAGGCGGAGGCTGCAGGTATGGTACGCAATCTTGTCTCTGGAGGCCACTGGACGGAGTCCAGAATTTACGATGCGGGATACCGCTCGAGTTCAGGTGGAACCTGTACGCGCTGCGGCGCCTCAGCTGAGACCCCGTTCCATCGCTTTTGGGATTACTCTTGCAATCGACTTGTGCCTGATGCGGTCTTGGATCGCACCGATTGTTTGCGCGATCGCGTTTTAGCGGAGCCTGAGCTGTCCTGTTTGTGGTTTCGTGGCTTGGTCCCGAAGGCTCTCACGTGTGGCCACTTGCCTCCGCCTGTTTTGCAGGTGTGGGAGTGGGGCCGACTGATCGGAGGTGGGGTGATCGATGGAGGAGTGTGGGGAATTGATGGATCTGGGGGGAAGTTCACTAAGGACTGGCGGCTTCGCCGCTGTGGCTGGGCGTGCGTCCACTTAGGTCCATCTGGCCTCTTCGACTCCCTCCTCATGGGCACCCTCCCTACCAAGAAGCAGTCCTCTCCTCGTGCTGAGTTGTATGCTCTTATCATGCTTGCCCGTCGGACTACGGGGCACTGTCGCGTGTACTGTGATTATTTGCGAGTTGTTCAAGGGGCGCGTCGCCCATTGCGTGACAAACGTGGGTCGTCTATGTTGGATCTGTGGGTGCAATTTCATGATGTTTTGAGTGCTCGAGGGGGATCGATCCAAGTGTTGTGGACGAAATCTCATTCCTCCCAGGCCCAACGCCAAAATATGTTTATGAGCGACGTTGAAGTCTATTTGAACCAGGCTGCTGATTTCTTTGCCGATGCTGCTGCTGACAGGGCCCAGATCCCCGAGGATTTAGTGGACCGAACCCGACGGGCCGACAAACTTGCGTTCGATGTGGTTTCGCGGTTGTTGGCGGTCCAGCGTGAAGTGCTGTTCTCGGGAGATCGTGAGACATCGGAGAGAGTTCCTAGGCGGCAGCGCGGGCAGCAGACCAGTTTTTCTGTGAGGATGTGTCGCTTGCGTGACAGTGGGCATTCTCCTGAGGCGCGTTCAGCGTCACTCAAGTGTTCTCGGTGTGCGCGGGGCTTTCCTTAGAAAGGGAAGCTGGCGGATTTCTGGCCCGATCCATGCAAGCCTCGCTGCGAACTGCAGCAGCGGATTCAGTGTCTTCCTCCTCGTGGCGCACCGAGCTCAGGGGTGGAAGATCCACCTCCTGATGATCTTTCCGCTGTTCAGGGGTGTGGAACACCCCTGGACCACCCTATGGCTGAGTTTTGTTCACCCACCCACCAGTTGGCCGTGTTTCGGGGTGTTTTGTTTTGCGAGGTTTGTGGAGGTTTTTGCACAGTGAACCCCCCTCGCATCTTGAGCAGGGCCTGTGATCGGCCCTCAGTCACTGGGAAGGCGGTTCTTTCGAGGATCGCCCGCGGGCTCCCCCCGAAGTCGGGCACCCGTTTCCCTGATGTGTGATTTGGTGTTTTTTAGCGACCTCCCTAGTGGAGGATGACGCTTTAGATAGAATTAGAATTAGAATTATCTCCTCCTCCTCCTCCTCCTCCTCCTCCTCCTCCTCCTCCTCCTCCTCCTCCTCCTCCTCCCACCCACCTGTGGCAGCGGTGGTGGGACACTGGCCCACCGGCTGTAGCCCCGGGCCTGGCGCAGGGAGCGACGGCTCCACGCGGCCACGGGCTCGCCGCCCAGCTGCAGGCCGCCGGCGACTCGCACCCGGCCGTGCTGCCTGCGCCCCGCGAGGAAGCGCAGCCACGGCTCGGTGTCGCCCGAGGGCCCCAGCAGCGCCAGCACGGAGCCCGGCGGCAGCAGGCCCGCGACGGAGGGCGCCTCCTGCAGGCCGAGGCCGTAGAGCTGGTCGGGGCCGCTGCGGATGGAGGCGTCGAAGTACACGGGCAGGCCGGAGGAGGGCAGGCTGGTGAGCATGTCCTCGAAGCTGGAGACGGAGGCGACCGAGCCCGCGCGCTGGCGGGGCCCAGCGTCGCCGGGCTCGCCCCGAGCGGCCTCGAGGCTGCCGTCGGTCAGCACGGAGGGTCGCTTGGAGGATTCCACCACGATCTTGGCGACGAGGTCGTTCAGCTTGTCGCCCTCGCCGAACCTCAGCTCTTCGACCATCTCCAGCAGATCCAGGGCCCTCTCGCTCCTGCGCCAGCGCAGCAGCCACTTCGACAGGAAGAGAGCGAAGACCAACCCCACCCAGCAGGCCAACATGGCAAGCCGCCAGCCGCGGCCTTCCTCCCGGGCTCGCCGACCACGCCGGAAGGTGGCCTGTGGCTCCTCCTCCAAGATCAGCTCGTGGCCGCAAAGGTAGGGCTGCGAGCACCGGTAAGTGCCCCGCGGCAGGTTGTCAAGCTTCATCTCTGGGTTCTCCCAACAGCTGCAGCTCAACCCGCCGCCCTCCTTCTCGAGCTTGTGGAGCCCGTGGCTACAAGACGGCATTCCCCTCTCCTCCAGATAGGCCAAGTCCGTCAACCGCGACGGTGCATCTTCTGGCGCCTCGATCAGCACGAGGCCCATGCCGTCGTGGACGTGCACCAGCATGTGGCAATGAAAAAACCACCAGCCTGGATTGTCTGCCTTATCGGCAGTGGACAAACCTCCCTTT